ATCAATATTTAGATATCTATTTTGTAATCTTTCATATTTAACATAAAATGATAAACATCATTACTGTTTCGTAATAATATATAATAAATATGTTTTGAATTTAATTGACAAAATATTTGAGTTTACCTCGGTTATTTCAGAAAACATGGGTTCCGTCTTCTTATTTTCTATCTCGCAACGCATTCTTGATGTTAAGACGATACGAATCTCCCTTCAGCTTATAGTTGCAAAATATGTAAAACGAATTTATTAGGGCTTATTTTCAATGATTAATTGTGTTTAAACCGCATCAAAATTATTTTTTTTCCCTTCATATACCCTTTGATTCTTTTACGATTAAATCTTCTCAATTTAGTTAAATTTTTTTAGCCTTGGATTAGTTCAGTTTCAACGATTTTGTGGTAAACAAGGAGCATTAAGAAATAGATCAACTCAAAGTAGCTTTCATCAACCACGAACTAGTGCTGCACGTCAAAAATTAAAGCAAATAAGAAATTACGACAAAAAAATACAGAAACTCAAGAAGAAGAGTTTACATAAACTCAAGGAGAGCAATATGTACATCTCGTTAAAAAATGTAAAATGTGGCAAATAAAAGCTTATAGCTTCTTGGCCGCTTGATAAAACTCTCAGTTCCGTTGCAGGAAAAATGTTCATGACCTTATTATTTTCAGAATTTTTCAGTTTTAGAAAAGTTACTTTTTTTTCTAAACGATCAATTTTCCAAAATTCCACTTAAGGTAATTCCCGCGAAAAATTATAATATAAATTTTATTAGAACACTCCTCCTTCGTCGTTTTGTAAAAAGTTTTGTAATCCGTTTCTTCGAATTTGGGACAAAAATCGCATAATTGTTTATCAAACAAAAAACAGAATACGCAAAAGTTTATAATAAATTATTTGGAAAACTCGACACCCCTATGCCTCTGAAGACTACAGAGTTTGCTAAAAAAACTGTGATTTTTTAGAATTGACAGAATTTTTTTTGTTATTCTTTCCACTCAAAAGCGCTCTTTTTTGTAGTTTCGTTAAAAAATTAGCAT